GTTTAGCAAGCGCCATTAGCTCAATTGTAAAAATACCACGACCGAAATTTAGATTCGTATAATTGAATGATAAATGGTAATTTAGATTCACGTAATCGAAAGGTAACTGGAAGGAGACCATATTACGTGTTACATTCCCTGACCTGAAAAATAGACAAGGTTTACTCCATAGAAACTATTAATTTTTAATCACATATGTCGGAAAATTAGTAAAAAATGACATAAGTTTCTTTTTTTATTAGAAGTGAGAAACTAATGTCGGAAAAATGGTAAAAAATGACATAAGTTTCTTTTTTTTATTAGAAGTGAGAAGCTAAGTATGAGTAAATTAATAAACTTTATAACACATAATTTTTTTTCAGTTTTTGCTGTGAAGAGGTAAATCTTATATCAAGAGATCTCACTTAATTATCATTCATTCCTACTCTTAGTCTAGTAATTTTTTTGCGCCTTTATCTCTCAAAACTATTTGACTCGTAATAATTAGAATTCGTGTGGGAAGATTTTGGACTCTTAAACGTCGAGCGAAGAGCAGTGGACAGTGGGTATGTAATTGGCTTGGCATCATGATAGCTTTTACTTTTTTTTTTTAATGTAGTTGTCAAATCATTAGTATTTTAGATTAACTATTACTCCCTCCTTTTTTTAATATAACGTGTTTTAGAATTTTTTTTTGTTTTATAATATAATATGTTTTCATATTTATATACAATTTTTTTATTGGATATTGTATGACCAATAATATTATGCAGTCTCTTTTTTAATTGGCTGAACTATTTTAGTTTATTTATTAAATTTAACATTTTGAAATAGGATTTTTTTAGTATGTATTTTTAGTCAAAAACACTTTTTATTTTAAAAACGGAGGAAGTACTATTATATAAAAATTGTCTGGTTCGAAGAAACAAATGTATTAGCACAAGTGGGTTTGAATAAATAATAACAAGTTATGTAAACCCATCTTTCCCTAGATTCACTTTCTGCAAATCCAATCCAATCCGATGAATTTCTACTTTATTTTATGAAGTTTCTTTTGTTTAATAGGCTCGAGCGATGTGCAGTTTAGTTTAATCTTCGCTAGTCCAGGGGCCATGTATCTAACATTCTATAGTATTAT